CAAACCTTTGAGGAGTTCCAATCCTTAGCTAGGTTCACCACATGGTTATCAATACCATCAATATGCAATAATGAATTATGCCTAACCTTGCAATTCTCAACGTCGCACTTGAAGCCTGACTTGCATGACATAGCTAAGTGACCTTTCCTCAAACATAAATAACATAGACCACGTTTTCTTACCTCTTGCCTCCTTTCTCTTACATTCATTTTTGCTAACCTTGGACAATCTGTCGCCTCATGATCACCTACACAGATTTCACAACGTGATACCGTGACTGAGTTATTTGGGTCTCGTTTAATTACATGAAAGCGTGATCTCCTATCAGCTTGGCCTTCAGAATTACTTTTACCGAACCTTGAGTTACACTGTACTAATCTACCATAACGGGTTCGGGCAGTTCTGGCCCTCTTCTACAAAGACCACATATTCTTCAAAGCTCGGCTCCTCCCCATGCATCATGATCTTATCGGCGACTTCCACCCACTTATTCTGCAATTCTAATGGTAAGCATGAAACTATTACCTCGAAATTAGCCGTAAAATTAACGTCAGACATGTATCCCATTTCCTTCAACGTTATACATACATTATGCAACTTAATCGCAAAGTCAGTTAATACGTCAGCCGATCCTCCGACAAATTTATGGTTTAATAACTCAGTAATTAGTTCTCGTGCAACAAGATGTTCTTTACTAAATAAATCATACAAAATCCGTTTAGCCTTATCATAGCCCAAATGACTGGGCAAAGAAACGCAAGATTCAATTGCTGTTCTAGCCTTTCCCTTGCAATAATACAACAAATACGATAACAATTGGCTCTTATCTGACAGTTTACTCTCTATAAGGCTATTAAACTGACTAACAAAACGGTAATACTGACCCGGTTGCCCATCAAAATACATCATATCGATCTTAGGTAAAACCATGTTACTAACCATTGTATGTAACGTGTCCTTCAGTTCCCCAACCCAATCGACCTTTGAGATGTTACATACCTCCCCTGAGTGATTATTACACCCAGTACCATAATCCAAATAATTTTCCACTTTAGCATTTATCCCACATTTATCCACGGGTAATCGTTCATCGTCCTCGATGGCCTTGTATTCTAATTCAGCGATATCAACCTTTTCTTGGAGATCTAACATCTTAAGTTGCCGTTCTAATTCAAGTTTCTTTTCTAAATTCCTTTTCCTCAGTAATGCTTTATCTAACTTCAATCTAAAGGTACTAAACTGACTAGAGGACATACTAATAATACTAACATCATCACATTTATCATCATTAACATCAGACATACCACAAACAGCTTTAGAAATTTTACCATCCATTTCGTCATTTTCCTTCAGCCTTTTGCTCTGTGCTTCCATCGTATTTGTTGTTCCAAATAATCAATTACCAAAACAAATCTGAATTAATCCAAACGAAATCGACCAATGAGACCAGGAATTTGGACCCAAAATATCCAGGCAAATCCAAGGTATGAAGACAGAACCAATGATTGAAGAACTTTATGTTACGTCCAAGTTTTGCTCGTCCCAGTTATTGAAGTACGGACCATCGATCTACTTGCAAATTACGAACCCAAATTAACAACAGAACCAAGTTCCAATTTAGATACTGATGATGTCACAGGTATTCAGTGTTTGACAACGCTTCTACCAGTAACACCTTCTAATATATTTCGTTCCCGCCCAGAGAAATCAAAAGACAGAGTCGAGGAGATCGGAAGAGTATATTTGGCGATGACCAATATATCGGAATTCTCTGATCTAATCTGGCTAGCGATTGCGGTTGATGTTGAGCACGGCGTTACCACACGTGATCTGGTGCGGATGCATGACCGAGCGCCTTCAGCTAGATGAGTCCACTAAAACATATGGTCAGCATCCAATGTCGAAAACTTAGGGCTATTTATTTTGGGGATTTATTTACCGCTACAGATCACTCCCCCCCTAGTGGGGCAGTGACGACCCTAAGACGTGGCCAGCCAGAAGTTTAAACCCAACGAGTTTGTCGTTGGTAAACACTCTTCTGATAGCTTACTAAATTTAGCAGCGTCTGGTCGTCTTTCCTTACTATATGGGACGGAGGTACAACATAGTAAAAAAAGAAAATGTACATGGAAAATTTCGGATCCTCATAAACGTCATCGTTCTTTTCCAGCCGTCCTGGAAAAGAAAAAAGAAAATGTAAGTGCATGTCGAAATACACTCGTATGTGCGTCAAAGCACAATGTCGGCGGAAAAAAAAATGGAAAATAAACTCATGAACACGTAATAGCGTTAAAAAAATTGTTTTTTTGTTTTGTTTTTTTTTAAATAGAAATAAAAATATATAAGCATATTAAAATTGTTTTTTTTTTTTTAAAAATAATATAAAATGTCGAGAAGTGCCTTACGTGCAATAGTCGTTTAGATGTTCTGGAAATCTCACCCTTCTTCCAGAACGCGTCGTTTTAAGTTTATTTTCGGATACTGTCGAAGTATCATCGTGTGTGTTGGTTGTCGGATGAGGTATTATAAGTGTCGGAGTCGTGTCGTTCAATTGTACCGAAGGAAAATCCACGTAGATAGGATTTCCTTCTAAATACGCTGCTTTTAAGCGATCGATACTGATGCTATCGTTGGTTCCGTTCTTATCGACTATATAGTACTTAGATTCACGTTGAAGAACTTTGAAGGGTCCTTCGTATGCTGATTCGAAGGGTCGTCGATGCGAGTCTCGACGAACGAAAACGTGTGTACTATATCGTAAGTCAGGTTGAACGAAAACATCAGTCGATTGAGGTCGGGTGGAAGCAGGTTTAACTGAACGCATTGCGTTTGTAAGCCTGTTCGTGTAGGAGGTTAGATCCATGTTCATTGAAGAGGATGAAGGATCCACGAATTCTCCTGGAAGTCGAAGTGTCGTACCATAAACGAGTTGAGACGCAGTGTATCCAATGTCAGCTTTCACTGCATTGCGGATACCTAGTAAGACGAGTGGAAGAGCGTCGGTCCACTGTGAAACGTTTGTAGCTGATAGCGAAGCTTTCAGTTGTCGGTGAAAACGTTCTACCAACCCGTTTGCTTGTGGATGGTAGGCGGTCGTTCGGAAGCGAGTGCTTCCTAAAAGAGTGGTCAGACGACGGAAAAGATCAGATTCAAATTGACGTCCGCGGTCTGTAGTGATGGTTGAAGGGCAGCCGAAGTTTGCTACCCATCGTTCGACGAAGGTGCGAGCCACTGTTTCAGCAGTGATGTCCTTGATAGGTACTGCTTCTGGCCATCGAGTGAAACGGTCTACGCAGGTTAAGAGATAAGAGTATCCATTTGAATCTGGTAAAGGTCCTACCAAATCCAGATGAACATGGTCGAAACGAGCATCGGGAGTTTTAAACGAGCCTAAGGGACATTTGTTGTGTCTGATAACCTTAGATTTTTGGCAGCTTACACAGGAGCGTGCCCACTCCCTCACGTCTTTATTCATTCCAGGCCAGCAAAACCTTTCTGTTATAAGCTTGATGGTTGCACGAACACCTGGATGCGAAAGTTTGTGCAATGTGTTGAAGACATTGCGTCGATAATGTTTCGGCACGATTGGGCGATCCCTACCTGTAGATGTGTCACAAAGTAAGGTTTCCTTACCTGTTCCCATCTGTTTGATGCGTAGTTTAAGTGTTGTGGACGATAACTCGTGCTGAAGATCAGTGTCTTCTTTTTGAAGCTCGGCGAGTTTAAGAAGGTCGATTCCTTGGAAACTGTTCAAGGAAGTTATACGAGATAAAGCGTCTGCAACTACATTGTTTGCTCCAGAGATGTGTTGAATATCTGAAGTAAACTGCGAAATGTAGTCCAGTTGTCGAGACTCACGGGGAGAGTACTTGTCAGAAGGAGAGCTTAACGAGAAAGTGAGCGGTTTATGGTCCGTGAAAAGAGTGAATTCACGACCTTCGATGTAGTGTTGGAAATGCCGTACAGCACAATACATAGCTAGGAGTTCCCTACCGAATGTGCTGTACCTCGATTCGGTGTCTAGCAACCTTCTAGAGAAAAATGCCAAGGGTTGCCAGGAGTTGTTAACCCATTGTTGTAAGACTCCTCCGATTGCTGAGTCGGATGCGTCTACTGCGATGCTAATGGGTGCTCGGGTGTCCTGATGTGCGAGCATTGTTGCTTTAGCAATCAGTTCCTTAACTGTGGAGAATGCTTTTCGTGCGGTGTCGTCCAAATTAATGGATTTCGCATTTCCACGAAGTTGGTCGGTCAGAGGTTTCATAATTATTGCGCATTTGGGTATGAAACGTCTATAGAAACTTACGAGGCCGTTAAACGTGCGTAATTGCTTGACGGTGGTCGGTTCTGGGTAATCCAGAATGGCCGCCACTTTGGTCCTAAGAGGTCGAATGCCTTGAGCATCGATAGTGTGTCCTAGGAAGTCTAACGAGTTGGTTCCGAATTGGCATTTCTGAACGTTTACAGTTATGCCATGTTTTTGAAGTCGTTCGAAAACAAGATCCAGATGCTTGAGATGTGTTTCTCTGTCCGGACTTGCGATTAGACAGTCGTCAACATACGCGTGTACGAAGTTGAGACCTCGAAAAACGTCGTCTATGAATCTTTGGAATGTTTGAGCAGCATTCCTTAGACCGAAAGGCATTCTCAAAAATTCATAGAGTCCGAAAGGAGTTATGATAGCTGTTTTTGGTATGTCGTCAGTAGCCATAGGGATTTGGTTATACGCTTTAACCAAGTCGATTTTCGAAAAGACAGTTGTACCTTTCAAGGTAGCTGTCAAATCGTGAATGTGAGGCAACGGGTAACGATCGGGAATGGTTTTCGCGTTCAATCGCCGATAGTCACCAGTTGGACGCCAATCGTTGCTGTCCTTTTTAGGGACCATGTGCAACGGAGATGCATATGGGCTACTTGACGGTCGTATGATTCCTAAGTCCATCATGTGATCGAATTCGTTTTTCGCTAACCTTAGCTTTTCAGGAGCTAGTCGGCGTGCTTTAGAAAATACAGGTGGTCCTGTAGTCGTGATGTGATGTGTAACATTGCTGGTTACACACGGTAGTTTCGTTTGAGTTTGTTGTATCTCAGGGTACTTATCGAGTAGTGGTTGATAGAGTGGGTCTATTATATGTTTAACTGTGACTGGGGATACTCTACAACCAGTAAAAGAAGTTACGCAAACGGACAAATTAGTGTTTCCGTCTACTAGCCTCCGTTTGCGAGTGTCGATGATCAGATTGTGGTGTTGTAGAAGGTCCATACCAATGATTGGCATAGAAACATCTGCAACCACGAAAATCCAGTGGATGGGTTTGCGTAAACCCACGTTAAGGTAAACGTACCTTTTGCCATACGTAGCGATCGGTTTTCCATTTGCCGCCTGTAAGTTAAAAGCCGACTCCTGAAGCCGGTCGTTAGGATTTGCTGGGAGAACGCTAACTTCTGCGCCAGTGTCGACGAGGTAACGAACTCTCGTTGTCACATCTGTGACGAATAACAGACGGCTTTGTTCGCCGGCTACGGTTGCCGTTAACGCGTGCCGGCTTGGAAGTTTCCCGAATTGCTTTTCGCATCAGTCGGTTTCGTGTTGGGAAAATTGCAGGGTTTTCTGCAATTTCTGGAAAACTTTCCATACTGGTTATGATACCAGCACCAGTCGGGGTTATCTGTCTCTCGTGGTCTAGAGACAGATCGCTTACGAGAAATGCTTCTACGTGGTGTGCGCGATCTCTCACGGTCGTTACGAAGACTAAGATAACGCGTGAGTGTGTGACATAAGTCGTTTATATCATTCTGAGTCGTTTGAGGTTTTTCTTTGACTGAAAATACCTCGGTAGTAGATTTCGTAATTTCTAATATGCGGTCGGCAGATGCAGCTAGCTTGTCTAAGGCGTTGTTCTGGAACGAGACCAGAACTGCTTGCACCTGTTGGGGAAGTTTTGACAAGAAGAGTTGTTTGAATAGGCCTTCGTCGAAAGTTCTTGGGCCTATTACCTCTCTCATCCGTTGCAACATGTCCGTCGCAGAACCGTGTTGCAGGTCGATGGTATTGAAGAGTTGATCTAACCTTTGTCGATCGGTTAGGTCTCCTTGTTTAAGAATCGAGCGTTTTAAGATTTCGTAAGGATCGGAAACATCACTAGTAAACATACTGGGTGTTACGTACCTGTTGAATTCGCGCGGTAGTGCCTTGACTACTGCGAGGAATTGTGCACGTGTGTCGATCACGCCGTGCTCGGAGAAGTCGGCTTCTGCGTAGCAAAACCAGGCTTCGATGTTGTCGGGCCAGAAAGGCATGAGTTGAAACGAAGGCGGGGACAAAGTCTTAAGCTTGAGTACTTTAGGTGTCTGTTCAGTCATGATGAAGTATGAAGTACGATAATGAACAAGGGGAAAATATATATATCCAGGAAAAAACACGAAAAAAAAAATCACAATGTTTAAAAAAGTTAAAAAAAAATAAGGCAATGATATATAAAAATCCCAAAAAGGAACAGACTCACAGTTGCAATTAGGTGTACCAGATCACGTCGGTTTCACCAATGATGATGTCACAGGTATTCAGTGTTTGACAACGCTTCTACCAGTAACACCTTCTAATATATTTCGTTCCCGCCCAGAGAAATCAAAAGACAGAGTCGAGGAGATCGGAAGAGTATATTTGGCGATGACCAATATATCGGAATTCTCTGATCTAATCTGGCTAGCGATTGCGGTTGATGTTGAGCACGGCGTTACCACACGTGATCTGGTGCGGATGCATGACCGAGCGCCTTCAGCTAGATGAGTCCACTAAAACATATGGTCAGCATCCAATGTCGAAAACTTAGGGCTATTTATTTTGGGGATTTATTTACCGCTACAATACCAAATTTATTCGTAATTGACAAATAATCGACCAAATGTCGTTCTAACAACAATAATTATAACAATTACAAAACAAACCTTCAATTTTGTAGGTTCCAGGAGCAAAACTCCCAAATACCAAACCAAAGATAAACCAAAATGTCCGAAATAATGATATAAACAAACAAGTTCAAAGGTTAAGTAAACAATTACATCCAAAAGCACAGTAAGTTGTTAATGTACAATAAAAGGTTTTAATCCGCCAAATGTCTTCAGTTCTCCCGTAACACTCCCGACCAAAAGAACCTTGGTTCTTTTCAGGCAAATAAATAGACAACAGGAATCCAAGTATATGCATCACAAACAATCAACAACAGACACTCAATATACCAACAATCTCGTGATCCCTAGGACTTACACCAGTACGCCTAGGGATCCGAGTAGCTACCTAATATCTACAACTTCTAGACGCAGTTTTCTAATATCTCTTACCAAGATCCCTTCGCTTGTCCGCAACTCCATCGGTCTTAACCTATCATTATTAGGTATCACTTTCCTTACCAGACCTAATAATCATTTGTCTTTCTCTAAAAACCCAGTACATGTCGTCACCAAGCTACTCTCTCCTGTGTTCATTTCTGGTTGAGTCCATTTGTGTCTAAGTTGCAACAATGAAACATATTCCTTAGACAAACGTTTCCAAAATATTTTGCGCCAACATAAACAACCGCAATATCAACCATCAAAAACAAAATGCTTCATCCTCCATAAAAGCTTATATACGCTATCGTAAACATGGATATATAAACCCATATAGAGGACCAATCCATTAATTTCTTTATTTACCGCGAACTCTTTATTCTGATTCCAAATCATAACATTGTTAGACTCTTCTATTTCTTTTAGAAGATGAATAACCCTAACACATGGCTTCAGGCACCATTGCATATTCACACACAAACAACTATTTGAGTCCGCAGAACAAGAAGCCCTTCTCCCAATAATCATTAGCCACAATTTAAATCGTACGAACCACTGCTTAGTTGTGTTTTTACGCAAGTCCAATACAAACATCAAATCTCCTGTAAGTACAAATGAACTGTTAGTCACTTTTCCGTGAGATTCACCACGAGACCCACCAACAATATATTGCTTAATGTTAACCGAATTCTCCGAACACATTTCATTATCAAAGGCTAATCCTATTTCACCCAATCTGGATAGTAAAGGTGCACCAGTCAAACTGTTTACAACATTTGATCCTTTCCAAAGCTGGTCATTAAGAGAACAACCTTGATAGACAGCCGCACAATCAAAAACAATTCCCAATTTTCCAGGCCTTTTAGGGTTGATAACAGGATGATGAGGAATATACCAACAAACAGAATCATGGTCAAATTCCTCTTCACTAGCTTCAATGATGTAGCCCTTTCTTAAATGTTTATTCATCACAACTTGATATTTCTCCAAAAGACTGTTATCTTTCATAAACCTCCTCCATAAGCATTCCAGTCTGCGTCCAGCTAGTTCCAAATTATTCGGTAGTCTTGGCTTATCATACTTCCATGGTAGACCAACTTGGAAATGACCACCCTCCAATCTAAACGAACTGCTAGCTATTTCTAGAGCTTTTTTTATCTTCGACAGGATATCCATTACAAAACTTATTTGTATCCTCGAACTCATGATCATATAATCTTCCTAAATCTCGCAAAATATCATTAGTGGAACAATGACACAACTGAACTTGATGTAGAGACCTTGATACTCTCTTAGGACCTATAATCATCCAACCAAGATGAGTACGCACAGCAAACGGATGCTTCCTGTCCCCCAGACGTTGTTCCAGGACCCAATGTGCATCCAGAGCATCACACCCAATCAATATTCCTACAAAATTACTTTGCAACCTCGGAAGGGCTATGTCCTTTAGATGTTTCCACCGTTTCAGTTGGAGTTCGGCTAAAGGTGCTGCATGATCGATCGGAAGTTTCTTGGTCGTGTAAACTTTGTTGATCTTTATAGAACCCCGTTCATCTAATGAAAATACCTCTAAATTTACCTCCAAACATTCACAATTGGTAGTTCCGTTCACAGTCGCCATCTTTATCGAAGTCTCTTTACCTTTAATACGCAGCTGATTAATTAATTCTTCACATACAAGAGAAGTGTCCGAACCACTATCTAGAAGTGCATATGTTTCCAAACATCTTTTGGGACCGTATAGTCTGACAGGAACGATACCCAAACAAACCTTTGAGGAGTTCCAATCCTTAGCTAGGTTCACCACATGGTTATCAATACCATCAATATGCAATAATGAATTATGCCTAACCTTGCAATTCTCAACGTCGCACTTGAAGCCTGACTTGCATGACATAGCTAAGTGACCTTTCCTCAAACATAAATAACATAGACCACGTTTTCTTACCTCTTGCCTCCTTTCTCTTACATTCATTTTTGCTAACCTTGGACAATCTGTCGCCTCATGATCACCTACACAGATTTCACAACGTGATACCGTGACTGAGTTATTTGGGTCTCGTTTAATTACATGAAAGCGTGATCTCCTATCAGCTTGGCCTTCAGAATTACTTTTACCGAACCTTGAGTTACACTGTACTAATCTACCATAACGGGTTCGGGCAGTTCTGGCCCTCTTCTACAAAGACCACATATTCTTCAAAGCTCGGCTCCTCCCCATGCATCATGATCTTATCGGCGACTTCCACCCACTTATTCTGCAATTCTAATGGTAAGCATGAAACTATTACCTCGAAATTAGCCGTAAAATTAACGTCAGACATGTATCCCATTTCCTTCAACGTTATACATACATTATGCAACTTAATCGCAAAGTCAGTTAATACGTCAGCCGATCCTCCGACAAATTTATGGTTTAATAACTCAGTAATTAGTTCTCGTGCAACAAGATGTTCTTTACTAAATAAATCATACAAAATCCGTTTAGCCTTATCATAGCCCAAATGACTGGGCAAAGAAACGCAAGATTCAATTGCTGTTCTAGCCTTTCCCTTGCAATAATACAACAAATACGATAACAATTGGCTCTTATCTGACAGTTTACTCTCTATAAGGCTATTAAACTGACTAACAAAACGGTAATACTGACCCGGTTGCCCATCAAAATACATCATATCGATCTTAGGTAAAACCATGTTACTAACCATTGTATGTAACGTGTCCTTCAGTTCCCCAACCCAATCGACCTTTGAGATGTTACATACCTCCCCTGAGTGATTATTACACCCAGTACCATAATCCAAATAATTTTCCACTTTAGCATTTATCCCACATTTATCCACGGGTAATCGTTCATCGTCCTCGATGGCCTTGTATTCTAATTCAGCGATATCAACCTTTTCTTGGAGATCTAACATCTTAAGTTGCCGTTCTAATTCAAGTTTC